TGAACCTGACAGCGCCGGCCGCAGCGGGCACCAGTGGTTTGGTAACAGACAAGAACTGGGAGGAGAGATCTTCCGCCCGTGCTTGGGTTTGTACAGCACGAGCCAGAATTCCTTGCTGTGTTTCTTTGTTTTGGGTTTCTTTTCCTGTTGCAGGGAGCAGGGGACCCCCCGACACCAAGGGGTGCCCAGGCCCAGCCTGCTCCCTGGCACACGCACACGATTTCAAAGTAGGGAATCACTTTGTCCCCTGCCAAAGCTTCTGCTTTGGCAAGGTCTATTTTAAGAAAGAAAAAACCCCACCAAACTCAGAGGTAAAAACTAGGACAATTCCTGGCATGTCAGCTCCCGCCCGCTGCAGCGCGCTGCCTGCCAGACAAAGCATCCTCTGCTCTCCCGCCATCCCCTGCATCCCACTCGCCTTCGCCACAGCCCAAACTGGCTGCAGAGCCCCAAACACATCTCCTTTTGCCATCACAGCCTTTCCCTAATGACACCAGCAGCTGCTAAACAGGAGAACAGCTCAGAGTTTTCCAAGGGCAACTTCCCACCCGCCTTACGTCTGGTGGCTGGCTGGCCGCCTGGTAACGTTACACACACGGTATTTCCTCTTCATCTGCCCACAGTGGGTAACCTCCACTTTCAGACCTGATGTGAGACAGAGACGCAGCAGAGTCACTGGTAAGGACCTGTTCAGGGTCCAACTCCTGTTCCCGCCCCATCGGTGAGGGGTGGTGAGAGGAGCCACAGGCAGTGTCTGGGGCGGCTCAGGACGGGTCCCCAGCGCTCTACCTTTGATCTCCTTGGTGAAACGCACTCGCTGCGAGTCCGTCAGGGGCTTCGGCTGCTCGTCGATGTTCCGGATGTCCAGCACCTCACACATGAACTCGATTACGGGCTGGGCTTTGTAGAAGGCGGTGGCCGACACTGCGGGACAAGTACCACGATGTGTCTCTGCTCTCTCCCAGCAGATGGGCCTGGCCAAGACCCGTCTGGATCCGGCCTCCCCAGACACATCCAATCCCACCAGTGCAGCTCCCCAGCATGAAAAAATACATCACCATCAATGTTGAGCATCATCTTCCACATGGCAGGCCTGACCGACTGGGGGAAACCAAAACACACCCTCCAGCCGCCTCCCCAG